CTTATTAATATACAAATATCAAATCATTATGTTGTACACCTGAAATTAAAGTTATATGTCAATTATACTATAATAAAAAATGAAAATAAATGGGTGGAAAAATCTAGAAAGAAAATATTTCAGACAGATATAAAATAAATCGTATAAACTAAGTCGGAAAATTTAGATGAAATGGGTAAATTGCTACAAACATAAAAAATATAGAGAAATAACTGAACAGACTAATAAAATGTAAAAAAGAATATCAGCAATGGTAGTTAAAGACCTCTCAAGAAGCCTCAGGCCCAAAAAGTTTTAACATAAAATCTATGAAACTTTCAAAATAGCTAATTCCATTACATATAAATTTTCCCAGAAACCAGAAAATGGGGAAGTGAGAGTCTTTCCTAAGCTCCTTTTATTGAAACCAAAAAAAAAAAAAAAAAAATTGAAAGCCCACTTTGTTTATATACATAAAGGCAAAATCTTAACTGGTTAAAATAATCCAACATAGCATTAAAAATAATACATCATGAAGAAACAGAGTTTGTCTCATTAATGATACTAAACAGCAAGTGGGGTCCTGCTGCCTGATCACACTCTAGGCAAAATTCCAGAAGCAAAGGTTTAGTGATAAAAGGAGTCTTCATTCAAAAGCTTCACAATTTTGGAATAACAGCTTTCCACATGCACTAGTCACTTAAGCCCCTCAATTAAGGCTAAACTTTTTAATTCTTTAGTTACAGTTTTAATTATTTCTATAGGGTTAGTTATAAACTAAAACAACATAAGATAGAAAAGCTACACAATTTGGGGAGAATGGCGGGCTTCTGCCTCAGAGCTCATCCCCTCTAGAACACCCAAAGAACAACCCTGCCACCCTCTGCCAGGCCAGCCTGATCCGAGCCTGCACCCAGAGTTCCTTCCATTCCAAAAATACTGTCCCTTTGAGAAATTCGGACAGCTGCAGCACAACCATCCAGGCTTCCTCCAGGAAGAGGTCTCTGCCCTTTTTTTATTCTTTGTGCTCTGGATGTGTTCAGCTGCTGAGCCAATCCCATCCTAGGCTGTTTACCATCGCCTTGGGCAACCTCTTACTATGGCCCCTCCCTTCTCAGATCTATTCATTTCCCCAGTGATCTGATCTCTCTGTATCAGTAATGCAAGGATTGTTCAACATCAGAAAAATCCATCAATACACTTGTCTACATTAATAAAGGAGAAGACAACTTTAACCGAAGCAAAAAACAATACCTGTGTATAAGTAACTGTTAGCAAAGTAGGAATACAAGGGAATAGTCTTAATGTGGGAAGTTATGGATATCCAAACCATACAGCATGTATCATAATAAATGGATAAACCTCAGATCATTCCCTTTAAGAAACAGGATTAAGATAAGCCATTGTCACCACAATTAACACAGTATTGGAAATCCTGCCTAACACTATCATAAAGAAGAGTATAAAAAGGGGGACAAAGTATATTCCCCAAATATTTAGAAATCAAAGAAAATGCCTCTAAATAACCCAGGGATACAAAAAGAAACCATAAAAAAAAAACCCTTTGATTTGAATGACAACAAAAATAATATAAAATTTGTGGGATGCACCTTAGGCAGTGTATCTCAGGGAAATATACAGGTTTGATGCATATATTAAAAGGTTTAATTAAAATCAATTACCTACACATCTAAAAAGTCCATTAAAAAAGCAAGTTAAAACCAAAATAGGTAAAATTATAAAGAGGAGAGTAAAGGACAATAAAACAGAAAATGATAAAAATTAACCAAGTGAAAAGCAGGTTCTTCAAAAAGATTAAAATTGATTAAACCCCTAGCAAAACCGGTGAGGCAAAACAAAAAGAACCAACCAATATAAAACAGGCAAGCAGAAGTATTACAGATTCCATAGTCATTATAAGGATAATATTCTGGACAACTTTATGTAAAAAATATTGGCAATTACATGAAATGGACAAATTCCTTAAAAGGTACAACTTACCAAACTTGACAAAAGAAAATATGAATAATCCTGTATTTGTTACAGAAATTGAAGTTGTGATCCAAAATATCCCCAAATATAAACTCTAGGTCCGCACAGCCTCAATGGTAAATTCTGCCAAAAATACTTAAAAAAGAAACAATACCAGCCCTGTCAGTGGCTCAGTTGGCTGGAGCACCGTTCCCTACACCAAACGGCTGCAGTGTGATCCCTGGTTGGGCGCATATGGGAGGCAACCAATCGATGTTTCCCTCCAACATCAATGTTTGTCTTTTGCTTTTCCTTCCCCTCTAAAATCAAACATACTCTTGGGAGAGTATTTAAAAAAAAAAAAAAAAAAGAAGAAGTAACACCAACTTCACATAAGCTCTTCAAAAAAAGAAGAAAGGAGGAAACACTTCCCAAATTATTTGATGAGGCCAGCATAATCCAAATACCAAAACCTAGGACATTACAAGAAAATGAAGTTCAAGACCTATTTCCTTCATAAGCAGATATATAAAAAGTCCTTAACAAAATATGACTACATTGAAGACTACAAAACATTCCTGAAATTAAAGACCCAAAATAAATGGACAGTTATATCATGCTCATAGATGAGAAGACTCTATTAAGATGTTAGTTCTTTCCAAATGATCTACAGATTATGAGCAATCCAAATCAAAATATTAGGATCTTTTAGAAATTTATATTTCAAAATTTGTATGAAAATGCAAAAGACCTAGATGAGCCAAAACAATCTTCACAACAGAGTTAGAACTTTTACTACTTAATTTCAAAAGTAGGTACAAAGCTATAGTATTAAGACAGTCTGCTATGGGTAAGGATAAATGAATAGAACAGAGTTCAGAAACAGACCCACATTTATAGAGTCAATTAAACAGAAGCACCACACAAATTAAATGGAGATGAATATTTTTAACAAGTAAGACTAAAACAAACAGATATCCTTATGGGGAATAGGAGAAAGGAATATCCTCAATCCTTGCTTCACAACATATACATAAATGAATTTGAGATAGATCACAGACTCATGTAAAAGTTGACTATAATGCTTTCAGAAAAACAGCGTAGTATCTTCATGACCTTGGGGAGGATATAACACAAAAAGCACACTAACATAAAGGAAAAAAAACTGGACGACGTCAAAAACAAAGCACTTCTGCTTCCCAAAGTCACCATTAGGAAAATATACAGGTAAGCCACAGACTGGGAGAAAATGCTAGCAAGACATCTGGCAAAAGATATCTTTATATAAAGGATTTCAGCCATTCTGTAACCAGACAAGCAGCATAAATAAAAAAAGGCTAGAGACGTGAATAGACATTTCAGGAAAAAAGAACAAACTGCCAATAAGCATATAAAAAGTTAAACATCATTTGTCATCATGCAAATTAAAAATCATGGGATATAATAGAACTGGAATTCTCATAACTGTACACAAATATACATAAAATAGCACAATCATTTTGGACAATTTTGGCAGTTTTTTAAATAAAATTAAACATAAATCTACATTGACTCAGCAATTCTAATTATTTCATGAGAAATGAAAACATGTCCACAAAGCATGTTCACTCTAACTTTATTTATAACCACCCAAACTATAAATAACCCAAGTGTCCATAAATAAGAGAAAGGATAAATTGTGGGATGTTCGTGAAATGAAACGCTACTAATGAGCAAAAACCAACCATGGATATATGTAACAACATGGGAGAATCTCACACGTTTTGAACAACAAAGCCACATACAAAAATAAACACTCTGTAGAATTACATTTTGTTTTTTTAAATTCAAAAACAGGGAAGACTTACCTATGAAAAGAACACAGAAAAACAGTTGCCAAGGACAGGACGGGAGTAATAAATACACTGGGAAGAGGCACAAGGGAACTTTCTGGGGTGATGGAAAGAACCTTTATCTAGAGTCAGGTAATGGTCACACAATGCGTAAGTTTGTCAAAAATTACAGAATATAGTCCTAAAATGTATGCACTTTGCTGTCTACAAATTTTACATGAATACAAACCATTTTACCTCAAATATTAGTATTAAAAAGTCTGATTTATCAGAGGGCCCTCTGCCACTCCCCAAAAAGCTGTTCAGAGACACACGGACCTATCTCCACTTACAGCAGCATTATCCTTTGAGTCATTTCCAAAAAAAAGGACAAGAGGAAACACTTAAAAACCAAACTGAAATTGTTTATCAAGTCACTAAATTTTATGGTGAAATGCTGCTCATAAAATTTTAGTTTTTGTCCTAAGTCTCTTACTAGTAAGACCATGACCCATCATTTTGTACAATAAAAGTTAAAGACTGAAGTTACCCCTAAAGATTGCCTAAGTCCTCAACAGCTTTTTAAATAAAAACAGATACTGAGTTAGAGAAATTGACTTGTCCAGGATCATATTCATTTCAGGAATAAAAATACATTACATGTATCATACATTGCCAACCTTTGGAAACACTGCCACTTGGGCAAAGACGACAGCTTACATTTTTAATAAAAGTTGGTTAAACAATTACGCATGTGTGTTTTCACTGGCAACTGAGGAAGCATTATGAATAACAATCATTAGAATATTTTATATATAAATATACATCAGTTATACTTTAAAGACAGCACATATTTTCTGTCGACCACGGCATTTTCAAATTCACGCTGGCTGGCTATTCACAAATGACCCAGGTTCTCGCTGAAGTGTGCTGCTCTTTGCAGTTGGTGCGTTCCCACCAGGCCCCTTTCCAGGAGCTGTACTAATGATCTATAAACCCTGGGTAACCAAAGAACTCGATTTTTGAAAACTGCAGTCAGTGAAAGACACAATGGTATTCCTGTACTGTAATGGAGGGCAAAGGTAGTTAAATCTAACGCAAAACCAGCCTGGCAGTGCTGGTTGCAATGAGCAGAGAGGCTTAACATGCTTAAATGATGGAAAAACACTTTTAATTATATAGGAAAATTTTTATTCGATAAATATAATTTCATAATCTTTAAAAAATTACTGAGAGCTGTACAATAAGTATGCTACATTTACTAAAAATGCATAAAATTTTCATAGGGTTATATTAGACAGCCACAGTGTCTGAGGTCCAAAATTTGAAACCAAGTGTTGCTACAGTATTTACAGCTACTAATTCCTCATAAAAATCTAACAATCACCATTATTACAAACATATCATTATGATGTATTTTTTTGTAGGAATATCATTCAAGTTATCTCACATAAACAGCACATTAATAATGTTCCATTTTTATGAAAATAGATAACTTAATTCAGGATAGGAATAAAAATGTCTCTAAAAGGGGACCCAAAATTAATAGAACATGCTTTACATATCTCTTTGGTCTGTTATTTTTATCAATATCTGTTTATATCATACCCCAAAATGATCTTTATATGAAAAATACAAACATGAATAATTTTCCCTTTCCCTCCAGACCCCAGTAACTTTTCAGACTACCATATTTTAGAAAATTACAGTTTCCAAAATTTTTTACTGGCCTTGCCTCCTGTTAGATAGGGGTCTCAAGTTTATCACACAAGCCCAATAGCCCAATTTCACAATCTCATGCAGCAGAAATGACCCTAGTCTGAGAACTATTTCCTAACCGGACGGTGTGCCTCTGTTTAATCTCCTAAAAAGGACAGTGCCAGAATTTGGGTCAGTTCTGGGAAGCCTTTGAACATCAAGGGAATTAAGATCCAAGGAGGAGGGTATTTAAGGGAAATTCAAACCAACTTTTCGCCAACAGCAAGCCTGGATATCTGCAGTTTTCCTGGCCACACTCTCCTCCCTCAAGGGGGAACATAATGCCCAGGCAGGGTGCTGAGTCACATGAAGCCGCTGCCGGGCATTTCTTGAAACTGACTTGGTGCTTGCTGTTATCTTCAGGGCTACAGCCTTGGACTAGGCAAAGGCAAGCAAATGAGGAAAACAGATTCAAGACCTTTAATTAATTAGTAATAACAAATGGAGCATCTTACTCTGGTTTTGGCAGATGAGAGTAAATTAATTATCCACATCGTACTTTCCAAAGAATTTTAAATATGCAAAGGGCAAATTTGCTGTGATTACTGGTTATGTAGTGATAGTTCTACAATATAAGTGTTAGCACTAGAAAACTATTGGATACTTAGAGACAACACTGGTACTTTCTTTAATAGAAGAAAACCCTTTTCTTACAATTGTAAGATAATCTTCCTTTAAATGGAGTAGGTTTTGAACAACAGAGCAGGATGACCATTATCAATGGATGCATTTTTCTTTTAAAATAAGTTCTTAAATAATTTCAAATAGGAATGCAGAAATTGTATCAGCCACACAATAAGCACCATGTACATCAGCTGATCCTCTGCCTCGCTGCAGCTGGTCAGAAGAGCGCTTGATGGCTTTGCAGTCCTTCTCTACTGTCACTAGTCAGTGTAGTTGTGGCAAATAAACACTGGAAGGTAGATATAACGCAGGCCTACTGAATGTCATTTTTTTAGGCGGACATTTTATAAGACATTCTAATAAAAGCAAATTCCATAATATCTTGCACTAAACTACTCTACTGAGTATTTTTTTGCAATATTTCCTCTTCTGGAACATGAACTGGTGAGTGTACCACACATTGTATATTTTATTATCCCTTTAACATATTTCCAGAATAACAGGATCTTCCTAAAGCAATTCTGGAGTATCTAAGTTGAAGAAGGGTTATTTATGAAAATTGATATTTAGGCTCAAATTCGTAACCCAATATTCTTGCATTAAAAAAAGACAAAGGTTATATTAGCAAGAAAATAGTTTACCAGTGAAAAAAGGTAAAGTCTCATATTCATGAAATGAGAAAGGGGTGGAGGGTGGCACAAAAATCTACAAAAAGGAATTATATTTTCAATTGTATGGAAACTCTGGCAAAAACTTATTTAACTACTTCCATACAGTTTAAAATGTATATATGTACACCACCATTATATGTGCTTAGGGCTGGGTAATAAATAGTTCTTAAATCAATAATCATTTCCAAATTTAAAAACAATATTACTTTTAATCAAAACAAATGTCAAACAATGGACCTACGTGATAAATTCAGGATGGAAATTGGGTATTGAAGTGCAGTGAGTTAATACCAAATATTTCTAATTAATCATTCTTAGCATTTTAATTTGTTGCTGCCATTATTCCATAAAGCTTAGCATTTTAGACTTTGTTTCATTTACATTCTATAGCCATATCTGAGACTATACCTTAAATGACATATTGGGCAACTCTCACCTTCCCGTGGCGGTCTGCTGAAATGTGGACAACATACACTGACTTAATGGTAACAGGATTCTTGTCTGAGAGCCTTTATTCTAAAATCTAGCTAACTGAAAGGCAAAAGCAACTCTAAGCCACAGAAAGAGGCTCTTCTCTTTTTTATTGATTACCCTAACGTTTTGATTTTTACAATTAAAAGTATTTGCAATGTTTAAATACTGTCCAAACTTGTTTTTTTATTGATATAGTTGAACTTTACAAGTGTCATAAAAATACTATAAACAGAGCCTTCAGATAGAGAAAAAGCAAATTTAAATATATTAACCAGATTAAAGCATGCAAAAGATCCAAAGATAAACACATTAAATAATAATATGCTAATGGTACCTAATATACCCACTTCATATTCTGTCATAAAAATATTAGTAAACATCAACTTGAAATTTGGTGGACTGGATTTCTGATTCATGAATAAGATATGATACACCCGTTGCATGTATACAGTTAACTTTACTGGTTGTGTTCCAGTACATTAAGTTTGGTACTGGTATATATTTACTACCCATAGTGCAGTAAATAATAGTTAGAAACGCATTCTCCTAATTTCCTCTATGAACTTAGAAAGCACTAATGAATTAACAACATGGGTCACTTAGGAACCAAAATTCCTTACTATTCACATTTACTTTTCCCACGAAAAGCTTCAAATATAACTCTAATAAAAAAATAGAGTTTTCAAGGCAAACTTTTCAGCATTAATTTATAGAAGCAGATTTAAATAGAAGACTCAATAACTAAGCTAATACTCAAAAATACAATTACCCAGAAATTATTTCTCTTTTCTACCTTGATATTAAAATATGTGGCCTTAGCAAGAGGCTGAAGTGCCATCAGAGGTCCCATAAACACAAGGGACATCCAAAGGAAAGATGGAAAATGTCTCTTTATTCACCAATTTCAACATGGTCAGATATCAATTAAAGGGGATGAGAGTGGTTCATGCTAATGCTTTTTGTTTGTTTGCCATTATAACTCTGAGCGGGTACGAACTACTCCAGAGATTTCAGAAAGTAATTCTGCAGAGCTAGTGTGGCCATTACCAGGATGATCACACTGAATTTTAGGAAAGGAGTTGAAATGGCTCCCACAAAGTATTGAGTGCTCTTTTAACAAGTAGATGAGTCCATTGTGGAGAGAGTCAAGATGCTCCTGTCGTTGGTATAGAAAGGATCCGATGCACTCCATGATCTAAAGTAACAATAAGAGAAAAGTTTGGCTCACCAGGACCTATGTTTAAACTGAGAAAAAAATTTACTCTGAAACTTAGGACCAAAATGCAATTTGAATATTAAAATAATCACTGATTCATTTTTAAATGCTAAAAAGAAGTTCTGCATACTGCGCTGACTGACCAAACATTCCATTTATATTACACAAAAACTTGGGAAAAATAATGCTATAGTCATCATATAAAAATAATAGCCAAAATTTAGACATTCATTAGCATTAAAACATTTTCTATAGATAGTAGAGCATAAGATGCTCTTAAAATCTTAATTCAATAAAAAAGTAAGTAGGTTATTAAGAGTTATACATATTCAGTTTTCCTGAAAAGCAACTAGGCTGTATTACAGAAGCAAACAAACAAAAATCACACTTACCAAAGCTTTGGAATGAAATAGCAATATAGTCATAATTTATTTCTTTTCAGATATAAACTTCTAAAGATTTTAGCATAATTAGCTTGAATGTAGTGAATGGTTTATTTAATAGGCATCAAAGACACCTGTAAGTCACTAGGGTTTTCATTTAATCATGAACAAATGATCCTCTACTAGTCTGGAAAAAATTAACTACTGTCTGAATGATAAAGCCTTATTATAAGCAATTCATTATATACTTTATGTGAAGCTGTATTAATTTAAGCTTAAGTAACTCAAGATCAAAAATAACCTGCCATGCTTAAAACAGCCTAACCTACTTTAAGGACAATATTAGGATTACCGAATCAAAGGTGGCTTTTCTTGGAAGACTAACAGAACTTAACAATAAATACACTTTATGTAATTTTCTAGGGTTTCCACTTTCCTTAAACAAAGATGTTAAAGACTAGCACTTAAAATGGTCCAAGTTCACTTTTATCAAACATCTGTTGTTTTCTAAGAGACTCTGTATATAATTCATATTTAAATCGATTACATGAGCAATCATAATGAGGTCTGGAACCTAGACATTTTACAAAGTTGGCAGTAGACATTTAACAACCATACCAGTGGTTTACAGAATTTACTAGTTTCCAGAAAATCTTATACAACATCCACCTTAGTTTAAGGAAGGGCTTGTTCACTACTATCTCTCTAGCGCTTGGAACTGTACCTGGTACATAACAGGCACTCGCTATTTATAAAATATATGAATGAAATGGAACTATAAACATTTCTTAAAGTATCCATGCAAGAAAAAGTCTACTCAGACATACATGACAAAAAGTAAGTGTGAACACCCCAATAATCTGGAGTCAGGTTTCCACTCCCAAACTGCCAATATTTTTTACAAATTTTTCCTCTTTCCAACCATTGCTTACATAGAAAAATCTCATTAGGCAAGATTCTCTTCATTTTTTATCTTTCCAAAGCACACATGTGCATTCACATGTTAAATATCCTATTTGACAGAACATTAAATACCTAAATTACATATCAACTATTAACCCTTTCTGTTTAGAAAATAGTTTGATTTGGATAAAGTAACTCTTGAATAAAGAAAATCATTTATTGCTGAAGTACAGCCCTTTAGGGTACAACATGGCATATACTTTACATAGCACCACGATGCTACCTTTGAAACCAAGCTTGCAATATGGCATATTCCTTTGACCATATCAATTAATAAAATGTAAGTAGAATTTTTATGCCTGGATAGTAAATTTAATCAGCAGAGAAATCTATCATATGAAAGCACTAGTGATGCCCCCCTTATATTTGATATGTTAATGGAATAGGCCAAGGACTCCTACATCTGGTAACAGAGGTGCCAGCCTTGCCCTACCTTGTAAATTAGACATGAAATAGAAATACAGGCTGCTCCAAAAAACCTACAGGAATGCCAAACATATTTCACTGATATAATTGCATATAAAAAACAAACAAAATTCTATGTATCAAAATAACTTTCAAAGTTTAAATATGATGTTCATGGATCTATGGCAATTTTCTTATCACCCTTTGAAAAGCACCAAGTCATATTGCATGACTTTATTCACTAGAAAAAAATGAACAGATCTCAAAACACTTTTTAGATTGTTCATTTGAAGGAAAAAAAAGATAATGAAAGTAGTTAACTGATAATTATAACCTTAGATGTTGAACCAAAATTGGATATTTATAGTCTGTCAAATAAGATATTAATTACTGTTGAAGATTTTATTAGAAAAATAAAGAGTCAAGTCCTACAAAAAAATATTCTAAGTGGTACAATTCTAAGTGGAAGTAAGTATAGATGATAACAGGCACCTTTAAGAAAACAGGCTGAAATGATGTCTGGAGCAGGTTCAAGAGGGATAGTGGAGTAAAAAAATGGCTACGTAAAAAATAATGGAGACATATTACCTAAACAATTGATACTAAGAAAATCAGAAAAAAATTTTTTTTGTCATTTAAATTCTAGTTTTTTGTAATAGAGAAGATGGATACTGTCATTAAAGAGAATTTCCTGTTTAAGTAGAAATTTTTTAAATTCTGTGAATTTCTACAATATTTTCTTAATTCTACCTCCAATCTTAGTTTTGTGCAATGAAGCTATCTTGGTTAAATTAGGTCCTTCTGGAACTTCCTTTGAAAAACTTGTTGGCCTGGTACATGACAGAGCTGCTTTCTCATAATGCATTTTATAATATAATTGTGTATGTCATGACATAGAAGTCCCAATAAATTTAACCGCTCATAGTAATTCTTTTATGTGGAATAAAATGACTACAAAATGATATCACAGCATTACAAAAATATTTTTGATTACATGTTAGGATCAATAAATGGGACTGAAAACATAGACATTATGTTAACATGAAAGTGCTATTTACAAATGCAACTGTACCGTAAAGACATGGCCATAACTAAAGGCAAAGTGGGAACTAACATGTTTGCCAGTAAAAATTATCTGCATTTTATCATACATGAATGATACCATACTTATCATTTTTAAAACACAAAGCTAACCAACTACTAAAAATTCCTTTATCAACAGGTAAGAGCACTCCTTCCTCCACCCTTTACTTCCTGCTCTTCGTGTACTTTCCAACCTTTTCCAAGCCATGGCACACATACAAAGTAGTACTATTCACATGGTACCCTGTGGACAATGGAAATCGCTATCTGTCCCTGCGTCTGTAACCATTCCCGCACACCAGTACACTGCTGCTCTGATTTTTACGAATACATCATTTACCCAAAGAACACCAAAGTGTGAAGTTTTTTCTACTCCTTAATATCTCAAATAATATTAATACCCCCTAAATAATGTCTCCTGAGAGGAACGTATGAAGAAATAAAAGTGGAATTTACCCCAAAATTGTACTGTTTGTTAAGAACCACAAAAGCAAACTCTGGTAAATCTTTTAAGAAATCGATTTGGGAGGGGACAAAAATGCAAAGACTCTAATAAATCATATTTTAAAGACCCTGTTCTAACTTAACAACTTTTAATTAGACCATAAATACCAAGTAAAAACTTAAAAATTACAACTCATTTTAAAACCTCATTACAGAGATAAAAAGGGCAGGAGAGCAGCAATACAGCCTTCTTCTGTGTTTAGAAATACCTGAAAGTCTCACATGACTGACTAGAAAATATAGATGAAAAAGAAGGAAAGCAAAATCTTTTGATTTTACTATTATGTGTAGATTATTTTGTCAATACAAAAAACAAAAATATATAGGAAATAAAACAGTGGCATAGATATAATAAAAGTTATATAAAAACCAAGTAAGAGTGCCATCTACATACTCCTATTCACCGTATTTTAGAAAGATTTTGAAGAAAAATTTTTTGTTCATTAGATGAAAAGTCTCTTCAAAGGTGCTTTTTCTTCCTTAGTGAAAGAAACCCTTACCCAAAGCCACAAAGTGAAATCTACCATCAAAGAGTGCTAATAAATAGCACACTTCCTGCTTCAGTTGGTAAAACCTGCTGCTGATTTATTAGGTATCTAGAGATGCATGTTCATCTGTTCCAGTTTATAGGACACTCATCTGCAGCAAAGGCTACTTAGAGAAATTTCACACCTGCTGACATGGGTTGGACTACATCTTCCTATTACTCGTTCCAGCATTCTTCCAACAGATGCGCACGCTGTTTCTCCTTCTGAGAAACAGCACATGGAGTCCAAGCACTTGATACTTGAATTTGTTTCAGTAAGCTGGAGAAGGTGAAGCGGAAAAATATTAGTTATTTATGGATCTGGACTTCCGCAAAGCATTACAAATTACAACAGACACTGTAAGGCTAAAAGTAATATATATACACCTGTGTTCTGTAACACGGATATGAACAGTATGGCAGGCTTAATTTAAGAGTAATCTTACAAAATATTTAAACAGCACTGTGTCCTAAATTTGAGGTTAAGTAAAATAATTATACAAAAAGTAGTTGGATGCTATTTAAATCTGCAAAGATTTTTGATTCTAATGTCTTAATAATTTATTATGGTCAAAATGATTTACGTCAACTACTCAGAAACATAATGAATTCTAATTCTTGAGTTTTTGTGCAGGTGAAATGCCCCTGCAATTTCAATAAAAAATGTATAGCAATCAAGTGTGAACTATTGGGTTGGCCAAAAAGTGAGTTTGTTTTTTTCCATAAGATGGCTCTAGTAGTGCTCAGTTGTCTTTAACTTCATTTGAAACAATTTTGTTAGATTGTATTGTGACAGCTATCACATCAGCATGCATTAAAAAAAAATAAAACAACTTATCAAAATTGGTGAATATTTGTGTAGCCATTTTAATATTGAAGTTGGAAGAAAATATGCAACATTTTCAGCATGTTATGCTTTATTATTTTAAGAAAGGTAAAAATGCAACTGAAATGCAAAAAAGAAAAGAAAGAAAGATTTGTGCAGGGTATGGAGAAGATACTGTGACTGATCAAACATGTCAAAAGTGGTTTGCAAAGTTTGATATTCGAGATTTCTTGCTGGACGATGCTCCACGGTCATGTAGACCCTTTGAAGTTGATAGCAATCAAATTGACACATTAATTGAGAACAATCATTACAGTACATGGTAGACAGCCGACATACTCAAAATATCCAAATCAATAAAGTTATTGGTAAAATGAAAAATGTTTTTTGTTTTATGGAAAAAACTGCACACAGACTTTTGGCCAACCCAATATTTTGAAGACTGGGAAGTCACAACCAGGTAGGACCTAACTCTAATCCTCACTACAACTACAATAATAGTAACAACAACACTAGCAAATAGTTTATACAGCATTACTATTCAAGAGGTTCTAAGCACTCTGCATATACTCACTCCATAGTTATCCTTGAAAAAAAGGGCATAATTTACCTTAAATTGCTGAGCAACTATTTGATAGTACAAGTATTAAAATCAATTCAACAAGTACTAAGTAATACTATTAAGATTTAAAAGTGAATTAATTTCTCAAAGTATGCAAGATTTACATTGATTTAGACATAAATAACCGAGCAAGATAACTTTAAGCCATACTAGTAATTTTAATCCTGTTAAATGAAGGAAAAAAAATGTTATGACACATAGCTCAATGAATCCCAACCCTAGTTTTGGTAGTCAAGAGTACTCCTAAATTTTTCAAGGTCTGTCATTTTAAACAAACTTATCTTCATTCACTTTCCTTTACATACATAACATATGGCATACTAAATCTTCCAAAAGTATAAAGGAAGAACAACAAAAAATAGATTCATTAGGTGGTTGCAATTCACGAAGGTTGGGAATCACCAAGAGTGGAGAGCAGGTATGGCAACACAGGACATTTGTGGAGACACTCATGATGGACAGAAGAGATGGATGTGATGGCATGTAAATAACCTGGCATTCCGAACCTGATTAACTGGGGAAGTCCTGCCAAAGCCCTGCTCACAGTAATTCTACGTAATAGGAGGCAGTGCAAGTCAACAGAGTTCCTGACTGGCAACTGCCCAATTGCACTGATCTCCTAGGATGTGGTAAGCACCGAGAAATAGCCGCATTTTACTTCTCTCTTTAAAATACCCTTGGTTTAGGAATGTTTTTGGTATTGCTTCTTAAACTGTATTTTGCCAGATGTTCAGAGGCATTTCATGCAAAAAAGTTCTGTGGCCAATTAAGTCTAGGAAACACTAGTTCAACAAAAGTCTAAACAGACTTTTTGAGTAGAGGATTGTCAGTAAGTCATTATGCATGGTCAGTCTCCAAGGGGAGAGCTAGACATACCACAATTCTCAAACAGTAACAGACCCCAAGTCCCAAGGGAACATTAGTCAAATCAGGAGGGAATATTCAGAGAAATAGTTTAGGAAATGTTGATTTAGGTTAACAGGATTTCATCAGTTTCCCAGTTTAGTCCTTGGGCTCAAGTGTCCTCCATCTCAAAAATCACCCTCTGCAGGAACGGGGACTTTACAGATCCCACATAATACTCAAAGGAGAAATTATACCACCTCTGGGAGGCCTTTAAGGCTTTATATAAACTGACCTGAGGCTGCTTTCCCTGCTCAACTTCCTAATACTCCTGCACCATCTCCACAGAGCCAACCAGGCACTATTGCCTGCCTGTGGCCACGTTTCAGGGCCTGTCACTAATGAGGGTCAGAATGCTGACCCTTACACCACGTTCAGTTTAAATACATCCTCACCTCTCCAACTATCCTAATGTCTTTCTGGACTCTATTCCACTGCTTGCACCACTTAAATGACACAAACACTTAAATACAACCTATATTTATTAGGCAAAGCACTGTGCTTAATAAAGGATGGGATATAAACAGGAACAAATAATAATGGCAGTTATACTTATGAAATGCTTCCTTATGTATGTGCCAGTTTTTAATTTAAGAGGCTTTTCATGGATTATCTCATTTAAAAATTGTAACAACCTTTCGGGATAAGCACCATTCTCATATATATTTTATATGGATAAGGAAACACAGAGGTTAAGATCTTGTTCAAGGTTACCCAGCTGGGGGGGCTTGAGTCTTGATTTCTTTGATTCCAGAGCCCAAACGTCTTACCATGCCATTATACTGCCTTCTTATAATTATGACATGAGGCAGACTACAAATATCAAAAAAGAGGAACGCTCAAACCCAGCTGTTGGTAACGGTGGGAGAGCATAAAAGATTTGATGAAAAGACGGCATTTGAAATATATTTTGAAGACTGGATGGGATTTCAGTAGCTGAAGATGGCAAAGAAAGAGCATTCCAGGCTAAGTGAAAAGAATGAGTAATAACTGTGTGTGGGCAGAAAAGTATGATGTACATTCAGTACATTTAGCCTAAGCATGAGAGAGAGTAGTTGTTACTCCTGCCCCCTTGCAAAAAGACCAGTGTGACTCAAAGCGTGGTCCACGGATTGGTGTTTGTCCAAAAACACTGTTACTGACTCATGAGGACTTTTAAGTGTTTCCAGTCTCAGAATGAAAGAGTAGAAAATTTTAAGGCAATTTGACAGCATACTTTTATAACTATTGAGTCTAAAAATATTTTTAAAATTGGGGCTTATTTTATATATCCTTTAAATTTCACTTCCTAGTAATTTTTATTTTATACAAGTATTGGTTGTATACTTGATGGACTGGAAATTAGAAACAACAAAACAAGAAAATGACTAACTGGTCCTACACCATATTTCTCTGGGGGACACTGAACTAGACCAGAAACTAGAGACAGCAAGGAGTTTGTCCTGTTCTTCTTAGTTTGACAACACGCGCTTTGCCTATATAAGCTAGTGGTTAACTAACTGATGGGAATTCCCTGAAGATGACATCCACAAACAAGGTCAGTAGCTTTTGCGTATCCACCTATGTGCAGAACACTGCTTAGGTAATGATCTTGCTTTGAATTCATCATCTTTCACTTTAAAACCTAGGGACAGTTATTAATATATGGGTAACCCAACAGAGTAAACATCTTGAAATAGCAAAAATAATAAAAAGAAATGGCCTCTTCAGTTCACCTTTTTAACTAAGCAGAATGTTTCTTTTTTCCCCTAAAGAGAAAAAAACCAAAAAAACTCTGCTGCTTTGAAAATGATGAACTGTGTTTTTGCATAGCTATCTATAGAAAATAGCACTGTTCTCTAGCAAACCTTCAAGCTCTACCACTTTCCCATACACATCTTTGATCTCGTATTTGGGAACTGGGAGCCCAGCCAAAGTACAGGGAGCCACAGCTGCCAGTATAACTGGGGTTGGGAAAGGGGTGGAACATTCAGATCTCATTTCATTCAAAGTAAGGCAAAGTAAGGAGAGGAAATTAGGGTGTTTTTTTTAAAATGGCAAATACTAAAAAAAAAAAGTAAACTATGGTAATAAAAGTGAGATCCTATCTGATGGCACAAAGAACTAACTTATAATTTATAAAAATTTTTGATTAATTTGTATGCCCCATGCTCTACCATCATTGCTTCCGGGGAACCACAACGTCACTTAGAGCTAGGAGGGCTGCCAAACAAAACAGCCATGGGGATTCAACATGACTATGTATGACTAACACAAATTTTCATCTTTACAGAACTTGCCTTTTGAAATAAATTCTGGCTCACTGCTCTTATTTCCATTATTTTTATATCAACGATGATAAACATTTACAAGTTTCTCCTATTAGAAGCTTCTACAAAATAGCTTCCTTAAATCTTCTAAAAATATTTAAAAATTATCATACATTTCTAAATCTTTTACTCACTCCCACCAAATCTTACCTATCAAATTAAATGTTTTTAAGTTTAGATAATAATTATTAAACTATTAAACATATTTGTTCTTTTGCCCTTAAAATTGTTTAATATACTTGATATTCAAAGTGAGCCCCTTGTATAGCCTTCAAGGAGGTATTTGGAAAGAAAACTTTAAATTATGAAAAAAAGAAGTTTGTGTTTAAAAAATGTTTTTATTTTAAAGGTAAAATCAAAAGTCATAAAAATATTACCGATTTCGAAATTTGGTTAATAATAATAAAACCCCTAAAACAAGTAATAGCTTCATCTCACTATTCAGAATTGCAACGGGCAGCCTTTCTATGATGGCCGGTAGCTAACCGCCCTACCTTTCTCAAGGCCTGTCCCCCCAAAGCACGCCTCAGGCTCACCTTCACTCCTCTAAACTAACTTCCCTCTTTCTCTCTCTCCAAGTAAAACAGCTTTGAAAGATAGTTAAAATATAAAACACCTTC